AAAAAATGTTTAACTTATAAATAAAAAATTAACAATTTAAAAAATGCATACCCCCATACAAATATTCTAATTGTTAACTCAACCATAAAATAAGTCACAATTGCAAGAGTGATATATGAGTAAATCTAAAAATGAAAAGTAAAAAGTGAACTAGCGTATGTACTTTATATATATACATATATATATATATATATATATATATATATATATATATATATATATATATATATATATATATATATATATATATATATATATATATATATATATATATATATGCTTATCTTAATCAATTAATCAATACAGTTTTTTTAGAAAAAAACAAAGAGTAATGAATGAAGAGATAGCTGCCTTATGCCAAACCCTTGATCAATGCACAGTAGGCCAAACAGCTGTTTTCATGGGCATTGGTTCATAACTTGTAAATGGAAAGTGCTATAGAGTTGATTAAAGACTTTTTGGAAAGGTTTTTAGGTGTAAATTTTGGAAAAACTAAACAATAATTGTGCTGCAGGATATTTAGGTCATATTTTAAAAGAAAATATATTTAAAATTTCATAAAATTTGCTTTTTTATAGGTTATAACAAAAATATGTATAAATGTTTATAAATATGTATGTATATTTTGTAATACAAAGATAACATAATTACATCAATGGCAAAAACAATAAAAATTTTCAAAAGAAGTACTAAAATACGTAATTTATTCTGTCCTCATTTATACAAAATTTGCAGAATGGTTTTGACTTGTATATCTTGTCAAAAAAAAATTTGATTAGATGATATCCACATTCAGTTAATGATGTCTGTTAAATTAACAGCTTGTATGTCAATTGACAGTCTTATATGTATCAATCTTAATATTTTGTAATTACCTTTTAACCCTGAATCATAAAGATTTCCCAAACCATTCCTCATTATTCAAAATTAGCTCCCGAGAATAACCAATCAGTTTGTGAAGTGATTGTGTTATACATATCCATGGTCAAGGTAAATTTATTTTTGTAACAAGTGCAAACTCGTTAAATAGGAATAAATAAAAATCTGTACAATAGTTTTTAATTTAATCCACACAAATTTTTCTTTTTGAGGAAAATACACATAAAATCACTGAGACCATTTAAAGACTCAGTGGGGAATTTTGTGACTTTTTTAAACCATATTAAAAAGTCTGCTTTGTTTTCAAGTGAAAATAGACAAAACATTGTCAGTATGATATTGCTAGTGTTAAATTATCTTTTTAATTAAATATTACATGGCTTCCACTACCATCAAATCAAAACTTCATATTCATATAGTATATTTTCAATGTTTATATCTAAAAAAATGTTCTCTAATATCTTTTGCATCACCACTTTAATAGCCTGAAGTAAACACAAGAATAAAGTTCAAGATAAATTATAATAATTGGTGTTACTTCAGATTGTTTTCTTCTGAGATGTTTCCAACTAGGCAATATATTAAAAGCAGCAGTTAAAAGAGTTTTTTTTTTTTTTTTGATTTGTATATAAATGCCTACCAAAAACAAACTGTTTAAATTGTTTCTATAGGAAGTATTGGAAGCAAGGTTTCCTTACCATCATTAAATTGTATGACTATATAGCCCATTTTTTTAAGTTTGTTTTTCGTCAGATACAGATCTTTGCCAGCTATTCTGAACTATTGTTTTTTGTGCAAATGCCACTTCATCGGAAGTGACAATTGCAATTCATTCATTTTAAAACAGATTTCAATACTGCAATATGTTTTTTTATTAATGGTTGTACTAACTAGATTAAATTTGGTCAAAAAAAGTTCAATAAAAAGAGGGCTGAGGGGATGGAGGTGTTGGTCAAAAATTGGTCTTAATCCTTTTTTTAATTTCTTAACATACACTTTTACTGAACACATCTTCCCCTTTTAAAAACATTTACAAAATAATGTAAAACTATTTGCATTAATATTTAAAAAAATATTTTACAGAAATTCAAACTAACGGGGTAATGTCAAGTTAGCACAATTTAGTTTAAAAGCATCTTGTTCCTATTTGTTATAGGAGTTTAAAAATATATGGGTAGTGTCAACTTAGCACTTTTAGAGATAAAATATTTTTTCTGATAAAAAATTAGTTCTAAAAGACTAAAATTTTGCTAAAGTTGCTACATTAGGTAAAACATGTAAACAAAATTTTGTGCAATAATCTATGAAGTTAACATTCACATTTCTGTAAACTGCAGTCTAAGGTTGTTTCTATATACAATTATCAGATTTGCACTGCTTATAAAGTGACATTTTTTCCTATATAATGCCAAAAATGACTTTTATGTATCATTTATACCTATTACATATTTTTTGCAACAAATTTAGGTTATTTCAACTAGCATATTTTCTGAACAAATCATGCTTTTAAATTAATTTTTTTTAATGAACTGGAAATATATTTAGCTTTCAATAACAACTAACCTAAATTTATTTGGTAACATTGATTTTGAGCAATGTTAACTGTTGGTTTTTTTTCTTAATCTTAAACTTTGCATGTAATTTTTATAATTTAAGAATTCTTGATAATAAAGAAATAAAAAATTGATACTTAAAGGGATCTCCAAGTTCTGAGACAAGTTGTGTTCGTATCATAGATAAACAATAGAAAATAAGTTAAAAGTTAATTAAACTTACAAAACAAATTATTGAATGAGATATTAACAAAAGCATTTGTTGTTTTACAATTATACTAATTTTATGCTCTCAAATTTAATTTTAGGCTCTCAAATCTGCATAGCTTTTTCTGTTAATAAAACATTTGGTTTCAATAATAAATGTTTTCGCTCACAGCAGAGTTTTTTAAACTCAGCTCAATTTTACACAATCAGATTGGGTTTTCCCCTTCATATTTAGTTTGGGGTGGTTATAAAAAATATTTGCTGTAGCATGTTTTTGTTTTTTGTTCAATGTATTGTTAAGTGTTTGAGTTAGAATAAACTAGCATAATAAAAATAGTAATTCAGACAAAGCAAACTTTAAAATACACAAGATGAATATTTTTCTTAGAAAATAAGTAATCAATTTTTTTATATACAACACTAAGTACAATATAATCCAACATGGTTAAATTTTGAAAGATTTAAAAATCTTTATTTTTTTAATAAATTGAGAAAACCATTTTAAAAATGATCTTATATATATTTTAACTTAAGTTTATAATAATTTATATTTCTAACTCAAGAAATTGTTTTTAAAATGATCTAATATATATTTTTCAGATATATATAAAATTAATATTATAAACTTAAATCATATATTTTCGTTTAACCGCCAAAGGGTAGCCCCTGCAATTAAAACTTGATTTAAGTTTTTTGAAAAAAACCTTTTGTATTGATGTCAAATAAGCGCATTAATCAGACCTGGTTTAAAAAATAAAAATAGTCAAAGAGCCGGAACTTTCCTTTGCCAGAAACAAAATGGCATTAAAAATTAAAAAGTTTTTTGTTAAAATCTCATTCAATAATTTACTTTCGAAAATTTAATTAACTTTTATCTTATTTTTAAATGTTTATCTATGGTATGAACACAACTTGTCTCAGCATATGGGGATCCCTTTAAGTTAAATGTTTTACTTATATTTACTTATATCATCTTTTACAAAATGTCAAATTATAATGGCATGAAAGTTGATACAAAACATGTTTGGATACATGCAATCGATAAAAACTGCAAGTGCTTTAATAAAAATCTCTGTCCAATATTCAATAAATATTAGTAGGGGAGGGGGGGGAATCCAAAAATAATTTTTTTTTAGATTTTTTTGTAGTTTAACCACTTTTTCTTAAATAAATTTTTATGGTGATTTTGAATTTCACAATGTTTTTACTCCTTTATCAGTATTTAGCCTTCTACTTCAATTTTAATAAAAGTTAAAATTGAAGTAGAAGTTAAAAATGAAGTTAAAATAACTTTGTGGAAGTCATCGTAGGTGATTGTGGATTGCTGTGATGACTTTTCAAGAAGAATCATCAAATTAGTAGCATACTCTTCTATAGACATAAGAAGGCGCTTTTTTGTTTTTTTTTAATCAAAAATCATGATTTTAAAAAGAGTTGATTTATGCGGCAATGACTTACTTGTATCTCTAAAATAAATTACTTCATTTTTCAATTGTTTTTGGCATTTTATCAGATCTTGCTCTTTTTCAATATATTCACTGACATCTGATCCACGAGTAAATGGACCGCATTGTAGTTTTAAACAAGTTTAAATAGAATTTCTCCTTGACGCCTGATGTAAAGCTTGTTGTTCTTTTTTAGTTAAGCCACTTTGTCTCAGTTGAATCTGTCGCTGGTTCCAACTGTATTCTATACTTTCAATTTTTCTAACAATAGGACCTATTATTTTCCGAAATAGATTTAAATTAATTAAATCCTCATTTCTTAAATGGTTTGAATATTTAAGAACATTACCACATGAAACTGTTGGAAGTGACGGTTTTTTTCGAAGTCGATTGCTAAGAGTTCCACACTGACACTCAAGTTCAATATTATTTGTAACTGTTTTATCGACTCCAACGACATGATTAAAAACATAATACTCATCAGGTAATTGATCATTGTTTTTTTCTCCAAACCCATAATGCTTTCCTCTTTGGTGTTGAAGAACTATGGCTAAACTTTGCCGAACTATATTTGCAAGAATATTGCAATCATCAAAGCTCTTTGATGTGTATTTTCGTACTACATCAACAACTTCTAAGCCATAATCTTCTTTAATGAGATTTTCAAAAAGTCTCTTTGATACTCATTGAACATATGGCTCTTTAAATTCAAAGAATTGTTCCATTATGACATCATTAGATAAGCTTGCATGCATCTTGCTAAAGATTATTTGCAGTTTAGAATGCGTGGCAATACCTTTACTTTTACAGAAAAATGGCGAAATGACTTGCATTCCAAAAGCTGCTACCACGACTAAAGTAACTATAATGTAATCAAAATTCATAGAATCTCGGACTAAACAAGCAAGTTTATTGGTGATATATTCATGTTGGTCTAAAAACTCCATAAAAGTCATCCCAGTGAAAGCAAACTATAGAAGAACATTTTGAAAGGCATTCAAATCGAACATCTTTAAATTCAAAAAGAAAAATATCTTTGTTTTTACGCTGCATAAAAGTTTTAAATTCTTTATGATAATTCCATGGTTTTTGAATAAAACTTGGGCCAAACAAGTTTAGTACCCACGATAGAAGAGTTAAGGATAACATTTCCGTACTTTTGTTAATAGATATATCTAAGAGGAAGCCTTTGAAAAGGTTATCCATAATCATTTCATTTTCAATTTGATTTAGAACTTTTTCAATAGCTCTGTCAAAACCTAACGCTGTATGTGAAGTGCAAAACAGTTGACCAGCAGGAATTTTTCTATCAAGTATATCAGCTGTGATTTTAGATATTCCTATATTATGAACAATACTGTCAGTCATATGAACATCTACCTTCTGGTATAGTTCTTCTGAGGTGTATTTTAAGGCTTCCTGTAACATTTCGAATGTTGTTTTTATTCCATCTGCAATATTTGCTCTAGTTTCTGAAGCAATTGCTAATGTAGGCAAAGGAAAATAATATTCTCGGTTAATATGTAAACCAGAAGGTGCAAAGGTCCCAACATGCTTTCGAGTGGTAGAGTCAGTTGCGTGAGTTATTATCGCCACTATTTTTAGCTTGAACAACTCTATCTGCAATCAAGCCAAGAGAATACGTGTGCATCTGTTTTAGTTTTTTACGTATGGTACTGCGTGTTGGGAGTGTGTTAGAATCAATAAATGTGTTCTCAACAGCTCACAATTATTTTTATTGTACTTAGATATACGGTCAGTTTCATCTTGAATTTTCCATTTTGTTTTAAAAATTCGATTGCCGATTATTTACAGTGCAATTTGCATTTCCCTCATCGAGAATCCTTCTCCATCTGACTCTGCACATGCATGGTAGATATCACTTAAGACCAAGTTTTTTGATTGTCACACATTAGGTGGAACATAAGTTTTGTGATTACTATCTTCAAATATTAATTTTGATTTTGATCTTGTCATGTATGGCTGGTTTGGTTCACTTACATCAACAAGCATAACTCTCTTTTTTTAATTGGTTCAGTGTCCTTTTCAAAGAACTTATAATCATTTTTTGTTAATTCTTTTTCAGGAAATTCATCTTCATCTTCTAATTCACTTAACTCGCTATCAACGTTATCAACGTACATTGTCTGATAAACTGCTGTTTTATTTCTTATCTTTCTCTCCATTTTTCTTTTGTCATTAATAACTTTTTGATGGAAAGTTTTATCAACATTTTGACATGTAAAATTTCTGTTACAGTGCATGTTTTCTAGAAACGAGTAGTCTTCAGCATTCAGCAAAGACAAGTGCAAGAACATCTCTGAGTAAACGCAACTTTGTATGATAAAATTTATCAACTACAGGGAGACTTTCTAAAGGAGTTTGTTTATTTTGATTTAAAACTAGTTTGCTATTATGTCTTGTTAGAATTTTTTTCATTTTAATTGATATCTAAATTTAGTTAACAATAATAGAAGCAAAGTATTCTCTAGCAAAGTAAAACAAAAGCTTTTTTTTTAAGTTTTACGTTTTAACAAAAAAAGTTTTATTACATTTTTTTTTTTAAACGCAACTATTATTCATTTTAATTCAAACTTATCCAATCAAAACTTAAACTGCATAAATTTTAACAAAAAGTTGCATAACTTTATACTCAAAAAAAATTACGCTGCAAAGATTTTTCTTTTATATGTTCTTTTTTTTTTTTTTGTATCTTTAAAAATGTTTAAATAGAAGTAGAAGGCCAACCACAAAAAAATATAAAAAACTGAATTGTTTTTCAAACTTTTCTAAAAAAATTAAGAATAACTGGTTAAACAAAAAATATAGAATTTTGGACCCCCCTAATATTAGAAAAAATACTTAAACAACCTAACTATTTTAAATCTTTTAAAATCTATAAATATAAAAATGTTACTAAAGTATCAAAGCAGGGGAGAAAGCTAATTTTAAATCCTACAGTTGAGCGAAAATTCTTATTTGCTGTAAAGCATACAATGCACATCAAATAAATCTTGTAAATTATGTCTCATTGAAAATTACAAAATCTTAGCATATGAAAATACTAACCTGTTAAATAAAAAAAGTGAAAACATTTTTAAATGTGGACGTAGAAACAGACTTCTTCTTTCCTAATTTGAAAATTGATGATAAGTAAAGATTCAATATTATTTGACATCAGAACCCATTGTTTTATTTGCATTTTTAAACAGTTTTTTATCTTTTATTTAAATTCATGGCTAATAAGTTCCAAAAATAGCATGAAAAGTAGTATCTTTATAAAGTTGTTTTTCTCTATCTAATTTTATATATACATATACAAATATATATATATATATATATATATATATATATATATATATATATATATATATATATATATATATATATATATATATATATATATATATATATATATACATATATATATATATATATATATATATATATATATATATATATATATATATATATATATATATATATATATATATATATATATATATATATATATATATACACTCTTGCATGGTAGTCAGAAAGAGTTTCCCATAAACTGTAGTTTTAAAGAGCGCGTTAATAAACCAGATTTCTTAAAAGACAGACAGAAAAACAAACATCTCATTTCTTTAATATTGCTTATGCAGTTTGATTAGGATTTTTCAAAACGAACATATCACTTCAGCAATTTTATTCAAAACAATTTTGCAATCATTAGTTTTTATTTATTATAAAAAACACATATTTAATATGAAAAACAATTAATTTCACAGACTTAAATTAATGCCAAAACATAAGTACTTTTTTCAATAGCGTCACTTTTAAATAAAATAACTGAATACGCTTTAAAAAAAAGTAATTATGTTTTAGCATGGTTTTTGCATGCGCTCACAAATGCATTCATAATTTTTCTTAAAATGAATGCTTTTGCCAAAACTTCAAAAGAAACCATGCTTAAACATTTCGATTGCTTTCTTTTATTGAAAAAAGCGATCATAACCTTTAACAATGGTTTCTTTTATGTTTTTAGCAATTACATTATAAGTTTAAAGTAAATGTATTAATTAAAAATAAAATTTAGCATGCTTTTTTTAAAATTTTCTTATTTTCCAAAAAGTGAAATAATGTTTGTTTGCATACTTTTGTACTTTTAAAATTTTTTTACACATTAGCGCACTTTGCAAATGTGTAAAAAAAGGTTTTTGAAAAATAAAAATTAAATAAACTTACTAAGCATCTTAGATATATTTAATAACTTATTAACTAGAATAAAAATTATTTGAATTTTATTTGACATAAATCTTTTAAATTAGACGTTCGTCAATAAATAAAGATACACAAGTCAAGGTTCATTAAAAAAAAAAAAAAACGTTTTGTCACACCCTGGGATAAAAAATAGTTGGCAGATGCGATTGTTTCAAGATATTTGTAATTCTTCTTTTTTAGTAAATAATTTCTTAATTAGAAATTATATTTCCATGATAAAATGGTTTGTAATTATTTTTGATAGCTTCTGTACTCATTTTGCCTTAAACTCTAATCTAAATATTTTTTTTAATGATTGCCTTTAATTAAGTTGCATTAAAGTACTCAGGAAATTTAGTTGGAGTTTAATTGTAATTATGGTATCAATTAAATTAAAAATCACATTTGTTTTTTTTAGCGCATTTTTTAAAAGCGCTAATTATCAAAACTTGCAAAGAACCATGGTCAAGTTGTTAAAACAAAGAACTATATGTATGGTCGTATAAGGCGTGCGATCGCACACCTCTTACGATAATTTATAATAATTAAATTTGGATAATTCCTGTCATTAACCAAATTGAGTCATAAGAACAACAATTTATAAAGCAGCTTTGAATCAGCTTAAAATTGTTTTTTTTTTAAATTTATTTTGTGTCGTGGGATTATTTTTTTTTCTTTATAGGATTTATAACCTTAGTTCAAAAGAGTAAGAGTTCTGGATTTCACTTCTTTCATTATTTTCAACATCCATTTTTTGATACTTTTTTTTTTCTCCAACTACTTCCAGATTTTTTGTTTTCATTTTATTATCATTGTACATTTTAATAACATGTTGAATAGTGAACTGAACAAAAACTCTTTTTTAATTAATTTTTTATTGACTTTTTTTTTTCTTTCACTATTTATCTTTTTATTAAAACAATCAACAAGCTTTTAACTTGTTGCTAATTATTTAGATGAAAAAATTTACCTTAATATAATTTAATATATTAATTAAATACTTAAATTAGATTAAAGATAACTTTAGACTTGTTTAATTATTACAAAAGCAACCAAAAAATATAGCAACCAAAACAGCATATGCGATCGCAAAATAGCTAATTTTATGCATAAAATGCATACTATGTAATGCTTTTAAACAAGACCTGCTGTGAGTGTATACACATTTACTGATTTAAATCATATAGGTATAATGAGCACATATCAACATTTTGAGCAAGCAAACTTTAAATTTAAAAAAATTAAGTTTTTATATTTTCTATACTATATTTCAATACTATTATTTGAAACTGTGTTCTTTTTTACTTATTTTTTATATTTTGAACTTAAAATATAAAAAATATAAGTATATCAACTTTTTTAATTCCTGAAAACTATTTGTTAAATCAGAACTAATATAAAATTACCTTATCATTAGCATTGTTATTGGAAATTAATGCAATAAGAACAAAGATAATGTCAAGAAGCACAAGGCATATACTAAATATTCTAAAAACATCAAATAATAAAATTTCAAAGGAATATAAAAACTAATATATAATAAAAAATATTAAAAAACTTAAAAGAGCAAACCTAAAAAAAACTTAAAAAAATTTCAATTTAAATATTTATATTATAATTTCTTACTTTAAAAGTTTATTTTTTGTACATGAGCAATTATTTTTGAGTTTTGGAGAGTTAAATTATTTATGTCTAAATCATTTAACCCACTTTGGTTTATCCTATCAAATAAATGTTCACAATTCCTGGATTCTTTATAAAGGGTCTACTAACTTCCAACACAGACTTGATTATACCCATTTAATTTGTAGGAGTTTTAGTATATAACTTTTTACTTAATTTTTTTAGTTAAATTTATTTTTAATCTTCCACATATAATTTTTCACGATTGAGTGAAAAATTATACAAGTAAATAGAATTAGCTAATTTTGGGTAAAAAAAAATAATACTTAAATATGCTAAAAGATTACCATGACATCATATACTGAAACTCTTACTTGAGTGCATGTGAAACAAATTATTAAGTTTGTAAATTGTGTAGCATATTATAAAGACAAGCTTCAACTAAAACAACATGTTTAATTTTTATTGATATACATTTTTTATTTAGTTTTAATCAAAAATTAGTTATAAGTCATCAACACGTATCTCAAAAAATTGAAATTTTCAGGAGGCAAAAATCTGAACTAATGTTATGACTGTAAATACATAAAAACAAATATTTTAAGTTCTATACAACTTTTAACCTTCTTTAATTAAAATTCAAATATTTAATTAAATTTAAAATAATTAAAAAGTGAGATGTAATGTTTTTACCTTAATCAATTGATTTGCGAGTTTTTGAATGCAACAAAAAATGTATTTCTATTGGTATTTGATTTACAGGGTTTTAACAGAAGATACATATGGTAAATTACAGTTCGAAAAAACTAAAACCTCAAAATTGCATTTTATGAGATATGTGGTAAAGTTTTGGGTGTATAGCCTGTCTTATTTATTTTTAAATATTCCTCTATTAATCTTTATTTTTGTCTTGACAACTGTCAAAATAGGCTTTGTCTAATAAATAATTCTCCTTTATTCTAACAAAAAACTATTCTCTACAACATTATTGAAAAATATTTGCAAAAAGATTATTCAATAATTAATTAAAAGCAAAAGAATAAACATTGTCATAACTATTTCATTCAACCCGCTATTTCATTTTACCCTGTTTTACTTTATGTAACATATCAACAATAATGTAACAGTAACAAAGCCTCATTACTAGCATTACCTCATGCTCCTCACTAGAGCAGTAAGGGTCACAAGCACACCTAACAACAGTCTATGATATAGATAGCAAGTGGAGAATCTTGTAATTCAGTGGGGTAAACAGCAGTAAGATAATTTACTTAGTTTTTTATTTATTTATTGGTTTAATAAATAATAACAATCAACAATACTTTCTTATTTGTCTTATTAGTCAAGCTATTTTTGTTTTTTGTTAACTTTTGGTACAAAGTGCAATATTGTAGCCTAATTACCTGTAAACATTAATTTTATTTACATTAAATATTGTAGCAAATTATATTGAAAATAATTATATTATTAAATATATAAATTATAAAATTATTAAAATTATATTGAAACGAAATTAAAACTCACCTTGAAACAATATGATCTACAATACGATGAAGTTTGAATCGAATTCTCCTAAAAAGACAATTTAATAAGAAAATATTTTAATAAATAATAAATTTTTTAAATAATTAAAGCGATCCCCAAGAGTCAAGACTAGTTGTATTCATTCTTAAAGAAACCTTAAAAAATAAGTTTATAGTAAATTAAACAAATTATTTATCGAGATATTAACAAAAAACATAATAATTTTTTAACTCCACATTTCATAATTAAGTTCCGTTTCATTAATATATTTTTTAAATACTGGTCTGATTAATACACTTTTGTAGTTAATAATGTGATTAAAAAAAAGTTATTTAAAAAAACTTAAAATCTAGTTATAAACATATTATTTTTGGGTTTTCCCATATACTTAATTTTCTCTTTATATATAAAGTAATCAAATAAAAATAATAAAAATCAATAAGCAATGCTAACGTTACTTATTAAAGCGTTACTAATTATTACTATATTAAATATATTATTACTATATTAAAGCTTTAAAAGTCTAACTTTTTTTTTATTATTTATTTTATTTCAATAACAAAACTAATATTAGTGCTATAAAAATAATATATGTAAATTGAAAAAATATCTTGAAATTTGTTAAAAACAAGTTCTACTGATAAAATTTTAAAACCAAAAGTACTTTTTTTTTTTTTTGGGGGGGGGGGGGGGGGGGGGATTTTTGGGGAATTTAGTAAAAAATAGTGCAAATAAATTTAATTTTATGGTAAATAAAAATGAAATACTTTAATAGAAATAAAAATAAAACAAAGTAGAAAAGTGGTATTCTTCATTTAATTACAACAATCATTTCGCCAAAAATTTTCAGTTGAAAAAACTGAAAATTTTTGTATTATAAATAACTGTAATGCTTAAGAAGAGCAAAAATTTTTTATAAAAAGAGAAAACCCAATTTAATTGGGTAAATCGTTTAAAACATTCTGTGGTAAATACATTTATTATTCAAACCAGATACTTTTACAACTGAAAAAACTATGCAAATTCATGAAGTTAATAATTACCTCTCAAATGGAAGGATGAAAGCAAAACAAAAGATAAACATAATTGTCTTGGCACTTGGGAATCCCTTTGAAAAACGTGAACACTGTTTTAATGAAAATGTAAACTTTTTTATTGTTCTTTATTTCTATTCTATGGACTATGTCTTTTACCATTACCATTGGTGATTAGAAGTTTTTTAATATGAGATACAAGTATTACTACTTGTAACGCGGTTACTTTAATATGTGGGTAACATTGACATGTGTTTGATTAAATGTCTTTACTCGTCACCATTGACTATTGTTTAAATTATTTTTAACAGATGCTGAAGCCAGATGTTGAATGAACAAATATAACTATTTTAACCTGCATAATAATAAGTATAAATAATATATCAACAAACAATATGGCAGGTATAAATTAAATTAATTTCTAGTTTTTTTGTTGCAAAAAAGATAAATAAAAACATACTATAATATCATTTTACATGTATTTTTATGATATCAATTTAATACTAAGCATGAGAGATTTTTTTGTAGCATTTTTTTTAAAACGCATATTTCAGTTTTGGAGTAACATTGACAAAAATGCTCATAAAAAAAGTCCATAGCTTTATTTTTCAGCAGCTGTTCTTGAGCACGCTTCGTTGAGTTTCGGTAACTTTTAACATAAAAGCGATCGTTATTAAGTAATTTTTTTGAGTTACTTTTTACAAAAATTTTAATAACTGTACTTTTTTATTGAATCAAGTAGAATACGTTTTAATATTAATCTTTTTTTTTTTTTTAATTTGCGCTCACCAATTTTTAAAATGTTTCCTCGAAATTACTCTTAAATACTTTAAATACGTCTAACAGTTAATAAATATTTTTGAATCTATAGAATAATTTTAAAACCTAACAAACCCCCGTAAAATAATTATTTAAGTTTAAAATCTAAAACTAAAAGAAAGTATTTTTGTTCAATTTTATCGACAACTTTGCTATTGCTGAATAATTTTATAAAAATTAGCTTAGAATAGCTTAAAATATAATAGCTTAAAAGATTTAAACTTTTTTTTTAATCTGAATTTTTTCTACTTGTAAGTAATGAGCATATTTAATTTTTTTTAATTCAAACTTTTATTTCAACTGCGTGCGGTTTTTAAAATACTTTATTAAATGTTAAAATAATCGTGAATTACTTCATTAAAATTCCGCTCAAAAATATCTTTAAATATAGTCAAACAAAAATTTTTTTGCTCGACGCAAATAGCCCTAGCTACACGCAAAATCGCTCTTGGACGACGTAAAATTCACTCATTGATTAGCTCATTGATTAGAAGGCTGTGCTCTATCTATGAATGAGTCAAGTTCTCATTAAACCCAAATCATGACCAAAGTAACCAAAAATTTAAAACCTAAAATCCATCCCCACCACCTAAATATTTTAATATATCTTTTACAAATATTCGCGGTCTACGAAGCAACTTTCCATCAGTTGAGTCTTACCTCCTGCAAAACTCACCAGACTTGCTTGCACTCAGTGAAACAAAATTAAATTCTGCAATTCCTCCTTCAGATGTCAGTGTTGATGGGTACAATCCTTTGATTCGTAAAGACTCAAATAGTCACATGCTAGGTTTAGGGGTATACATACGCATTAATTCCCCTATTTGTCATGAAATCAGGTTCGAATCCTTTGACCATTCTTTTATGTGCTTTCGCCTAGCACCTCTTCACTCTATCACCTTTCTCTTTGTTCTTTATTGTTCTCCTTCTTCCCATGATTGCACTTTCTTAGATGTTATCTCTGATCAAATTGACCATGCCCTCTCTCTTTACCCCTCTGCCAATATTGTTGTTGTTGGTGATTTTAATGCCTATCACACTGAATGGCTTGGTTCTAACACCACTGATCCTGCTAATACTAAAGCCTTTAACTTCTGCATTTCTCAATCTCTTACTCAGATAGTTAACTTTGTGACTCATTTTTCTGACAACCCTAATCATTTACCTTAACTCCTTGACTTATGTCTTGTCTCTGACCCTAGCTTATGTTCAGTTTCTCCCTTTTCTCCCTTAGGTGGTTCTGACCATGCAATGATCTCTATAAATCTTTCTTCTCGTACTTCTTTTTTGGGCTCACCTTATCATCGCACCACCTACTACTACCCTAAAGCCAACTGGGATTCCTTTCGTGATTTTCTTTGTGATGGTCCTTGGGCTGATGTTTTTTCTCTCTCAGCTGACAAATGCGCCTCCTATGTAACCTCCTGGATTCAGGCTGGAATGGAAGCTTTTATTCCTTCGCGTCGGTTTCAAGTCAAGCCTCATTCTACTCCATGGTTTTCTCCTTCTTGTGCGGCTGCTATACCCAATCGTAATCATTTTTTTCATCTTTTTCAAAAGAACAACTCTCTTGAGAACAAATGGCAATTTATTATTGCAAGAAATCGATGTAAAAAGGTGCTTTCTGATGCTAAACTCCATTATTCTCAGTTCACTAAATCTCGTATCTTATCGCAGAAGTTAGGCTCTAAAGACTTTTGGAAAATTTTCAACAGCATTATTAACAAGGGTAGATCTAACATTCCATCTCTCATTCATGGGACTGATCTTATTACCTCTCCCAAGGATAAGGCAGAACTATTTGCAAAGAACTTTTCTTCTAATTCCACTCTTGAATCTTATGGACATTCTCTTCCTTCCATTCCAGTCAAACAGGTTGACCCATTGTTAGACATTCAAATCACTCTGGCTTCTGTTGCTAAAGTCATATCTCAATTAAACTCGTCTACAGCTTGTGGTCCATACAACATTCCTGTCACAGTCTTGCAGAATTGTTCTCCAGAACTTTCTTCAATTCTCTCTAAACTATTTAACAAGTGTTTGAGTCTTGTTTTCCTGCTTGTTGGAAAATGGCATCTGTGGTTCCAATATTCAAAAACTCTGGAGAAAATTCTGACCCCTCCAATTATCGTCCGATCAGTCTTCTTTCTGTTATTAGCAAGGTCTTTGAGACTTTGATCAACAAATCCTCACATTTCATCTTGAGTCAAATAAACTACTGTCAGACAATCAATACGGTTTTCGATCCTCTCGCTCTACGGCCGACTTGCTAACTGCTGTAACTGAAAGATTTTATTGTGCATTAGATAGAGGCGGGGAGGCTAGGGCGGTTGCTCTCGACATATTTAAAGCTTTCGACAAAGTTTGGCATGCTGGTCTTCTCCATAAGCTTGCTTCATATGGTGTTTCTGGGAAAGTTTTTGAGATTATCAAATTATTTCTTTCTAACCGGTTTATTAAAGTCATCCTTGAAGGCAAACACTCTTCTTTATTTCCAGTAACTTCTGGGGTTCCCCAAGGTTCCATCCTGGGCCCTGTTTTGTTTCTTATCTACATAAACGATCTTCCTAACAACCTTTCATCTAAAGTAGCTCTTTTTGCTGATAACTCAACTTTATACTCCTGCCTTGACAAAAAGTCCTCTCTTTTCGATCGCCTAGAACAAGCAGCTGATCTTGAATCCGATCTCACTTCAGTAATAGATTGGGGTTCACAGTGGCTTGTGAATTTCAACTCTAAAAAAACCCAGTTGCTTACAGCAAACAACTACCGTAATATGGTCAACATTCCTATATTAATGAATGGCAATCCTCTTACTGAGTTGTCCTCTTTACGTCTTCTTGGATTATCGCTTACTACTGACCTTTCATGGAAACCATATATACAACTGATTGCTAAATTAGCTTCTGCTAAGGTTGCTTCTCTTTATCGTGCTCGCCATTTTCTTACTTCTGATTCCATTCTCTACCTCTACAAATCTCTTATTTGTCCCTGTATGGAATACTGTTGTCATATTTGGGCTGGTTCTTCTAACGATTCACTTTCTCTTCTTGACAAGGTCCAAAAACGCATTGTAAATGTTGTTGGACCTGGACTATCTGCTAAGCTTGAACCTCTAAATGTTTCAGTATGTTTTAACATTACTTAATTTAAAGTTTATGTATGTTAGAAATTTGCATACACATTTGTTCACATTTTCTTGTTCAAACAATTTATTTAAAAAACAAAGTGCTGCAACTCTTTCTCAACACTACCTTGGTTGCAATGGCTGCCAAGGATTCCGTGTCAAACACACTCGAATAAGCACTACTCTTACTCCTTCTACAACTACTACTACTACTACTACTACTACTACTACTACTACTACTACTACTACTACTACTACTACTACTACTACTACTACTACTACTACTACTACTTAGTAGTAGTAGTAGTACTACTACTACTACTAACACTATTAAGTTCGGGAATAATATATAGGATAATAATCTAAGTTCTTTATCAGTTTATGGCAGCAATATCATTGGTAAACGTGTAGTCACAACTAAAAAAAAAATATTATTTTCTAAAGATGTCAATGTTACCAACTTATAGTAAATTATTTTAAATACAAAATAAATGAGATGTTAAAAATATTTAATGAGTCTTTATTTTTTGTCAATTTTTTTGCTGATATAAAAGTCAATATAGTTATTTAATCTCTTTATATTGAAAAACCTAATGTTGTTAACAACTGTATGTGTTATAATTGAGTTGATGTTGTTAAATAAAAATAGACCATTAAATTCTTTTGGTGCTAATTTGATTTTGTCATTGTAAGGCTTATTTATTATATTTAGTTATTAAGAATAACTTTTTATATGCTTTTTCTTTAATATCTCTTATGTGTTCAATAAAATGTAATTTAGTGTTAATAATGATACCAAACAAAAAAAATCAGTTGAAAAACTAATGTTTTAGCTTCAAAATCAATAATTTGGAATCTATTATTAATAGTGTAAAGAGTTTTAGGATTTGCTTAGCTTTACTTTTGAGATAAAAACATGCAATGCAATTTCACATGGATGATTGCATTTGTAACCGAGTTTCTCCTTATTGAATAAATCATTTTGTTCAAAATATGCAGTTATTCTTTAAGCAAATATATATATATTATTTTAATTTCAATTTACGAGAGGTAAATTTATTTTATTATTCATTATTTTAATCTAAATTTACCTCCCTAAGACCAAAAGGTCACTACAGTGGAGAAGGCTACTTTTTGTTGTGGTTACAATCCTCTCTTAACTCTGGGTAAAAATATATAAAATCATCCAAAAAAAATAATTTTCAACACCCTTACGTCTCAGAATTTGTTTTTTTTTACACCACTTGCAGTCCATATCAAAAAAATAATAACTGCAAAAATTTTAGTTGAAAATACCAATGGGTTCCAGAGATATCGTCAGTTGAAATAATGCTGACTCAGCATTTTAGTGATTTTCTGAAGCGACTACAAAGCAACTTTGACATACAGTATCTTTATAATGGCTTGGGGAAATTTCCTAAAATTTGGTACTCTAATAGATTTTAACTTGAGGAATCCAAAAATAGCACTCTTAAGACTCGATTATCTCAAGAAATGGCTCATTTATCCAATTTTGTTCAAAATTATTGACTTGTAAGTTAGTGATTTTTGGAGGTAAAATAAAGACTGTGGCCCAAAATCCCAAGTAAAAATTTTAATTGTATATCATTATTTCATCTTAGGTCTACTGAAAAAAATTAGATTCATCAATTGTCTCTCTAATACATGATCAAAATTTGCATTTAAAAATGGTTTCTTTTTAGAAAAATTTAAATTTTGTAACAAAAGCAATTAAAATATTTTTTTAAACATTTATTTGAATAAAACACCAAATAGTGTTATTTATTGACTAGTTTAAATTTAAATAAACATTTAAAGTCATGGGCCAAGGGAGATGCCCTCCCTACCCACAGGAGGCCCCTCTGCCCCCTCCCCAAATCTCCCTAGATTTTTTTTTTTTTTAACATAAAATGAATAAATAATAGTTGATTGTTAAAATACATTTTAAAAACATATTTTTTCAGTTTAAGTTTGAGAAACGATTTATTTGCGTTACTTCAAATCGATAAATACTTACCTCTTATTTCAAAGATCTTTTTACGATTTTAAGTCATAAATTTCAAAAACAAATGTTTTAAAATGTTTTTAAAACATATTGACAATAAATATCTTTATGTAGTTTTAGACTAATATAGTCATTGACATAATAAGATGGGAGTGATTTGTGATTTATTTAAACCCCCACCCCTCCTTCCCAGCCTACAATCCAAGGATTTGAAAAAAATTAAAAGACATTTAAAATGCAAATTAGGTAAATAAAATAAAAACAAAATTATTTTAAGCAATATTAATTTTTTTTTGTAAACAACAGTTTATATTCTCCAAATCTAAATCAGTTATGTTGTATGTACGACAATAAACTGGAGCAATTGGAATAAAATGATGATACATCCTTGTGCCAGGAACTGTTCTTCCACCTAAATATCTTTTTTCTAATTGTGCTCGTTTTTGATCAATTTCTTCTTTTGAAAATAACAAAATAAATTCCATTTATCTTGGCTTTACAAAAGGAGTACATTAAATTAACATCTAAAATCTGCCCAGTAGTTATTTGTTTTGGACTTTCTTGACATACTACTCTTTTAACAGTCCCACCAATACCATCACAGGGGGATTTACCATGACTGGCAGCAAAAAATACCCATTCAGCATTTAAATCAAAGTCTTTACTGTGATGACAAAGATTGATAAAATTTTTTAAAATTTTTAAATTGTGCTGCACAACCATCAGAAAAGTATTTCACACTTGATACATCAGGTAGATTTTCTTTGATATATCTAGTTATATCTTCCTGAGTCTTGTAAATAAATTCTGTGTCATGATCAACATCTTCTGAAAGGTAACAAAAAGATTTATGTTTGAGAAGTTTGTTCTCTATAAAATAAAGTACAACTGTATAAAGTGAGCATTGACTTTTTGCTCCAGTGATAACTTTGAACCTCATCCTGAACAACATATTGATAGTTTTCAGCAAAATCTCCTAAAATTAAGCATTCATTTTGGTTAAGATTTTCTTTACAGTTTTTTAAGTATCTACTTTGTGTTTTTGCAATATATGAATGAGTGGTAAGGTTGTCAATACTGTCACATAATAAATCAATAAATTCATCTAGTGGCAATGACTGTGAAAGTAGTGTTGTACGATCTGTACTCTGCCATTGCTTAAATACTACATCTTCTTCATGCTCATGGTCCATAAACTCCTGCACTAAAAAACTTTTTAACGCTTCAATACCAGGACATTGGTTACATCGATGCAACATACATTCTGCATTTTCAAGAGAGCAAACAATCAATGCCATGAAATCTTTATAACTTTTATTCCACCTAATGGCATCAATGAGAAATTTTGTATTTTGGTAATGTATGCAAACACATACATTGTGGGTACCTGACGCATTAGTTGTAATACACCATTTAGGTTTAAGAGTACAAAACTTTGACAAACTGACTTTGACGTTAGGATAGTCTTTTTTAAATGCAACATGTAATTCATTAAGATTGAGTAGCAATAATCTTTTTTGAACATGTTGGTTTTTCTTAATACTTACATAATCTTTTTTTCCTGGCATCATTCTTGAAAATTCATCACTTTGATAAAAGTTAATCACTAAATTAACTGTTTCTGATGAAAGTGGGTTTCCAGTTTTTTTCCCGGGTAATGATAGAATTCCATTCTCATTTTTAACTTTTCTTGCTGTTCGAACAAGATACTCAGACACTTCAAAGTAGCTTGATATCTTTTTACGTGTCCATGATTTTGGTGCGAGTGTTAACATTTGCACCTTATGGCAATAAGAGTCAATCTCTGAAATTTTAGCTTTTTATTTCTGTTGTTAAAAAAGTTTCTTTAATATTATATGCTAATGAGACCATTTTTGCAACTCTGTCAATAGTGTTCTCAAACTTTTGTTTTGCTACAGGCAATTTGCTGTGTTTTGAAAGACTTTTTAGTTTGACCAGTGAGATTCCAAGCAATACTATAGTGGTATCTAACTTAACTTTTTTCTCACTTTTTGATTCCCATTCCTCCTGTGAATTTAAATCTTCATCAGTTTCTATTGCTTTTTTGTAACATTTACTGCAGAATTTCCAACCTGGGGTTACATAAACATTATTTTTTTGCAAATAGTTTGCCATGTCTATGGAAATCTTTATATTACCTAAAAAACAAATTTAGTTTTACGTTGTTAAAATAACTGAAATTATAAAACTTTTTATAAATAATAAATTGTTTTCTTTTAATTCACATATCAATTCTGTTGTAAATAAGGTAAGATTACCTTTTATAGCAATTTTTTTACTTTCCTTGTGTGTTCCAAAAGGATTGCAACACTTTTTAATTTTTCTCTCAAAATATTTTCCATAGAATTGCTAATGATAACAACATATAATTCTTATTGAACTTATATCTTATTTCTTCTTGTTTTTCACAAGGAAGATCTTTAAATTGAACAAAACCTTGTTTTCTTGAAAATCCAGTTTTGTGGCAATGAATGTTAATACTTTTTCCAATGTCACATTTCTCCATATTAATTATTTTTATTATTTATTACCTAACAAAATAATATAAAAACTATAAAATTAAAAGTAATTCTTTAAGAAAATACAAACAAGTAAATACCTTTAAAAAGAACAAAACAAAACTTATGTTTGTTTTTTATCTAAAAGGAGGTTTTAAGTCACCAATTTGAAATAATGAAATTTTTTTTTCAAAATTAAAATTAAATTGTATGTTTTTGCATTATTTATTCATTTTATGCAAAAAAAAAAAAAAAAAAATCTAGGGAGATTGGGGGAGGGGGCATAGGGGCCTCCCGTGGGAATGGAGGGTATCTCCATTGGCCCATGACTATAAATGTCCTAAACTATTCAATAAATGACACTATTTGATGTTTTATTCAAATAAATGTTTTAAAAAATATTTTAATTGCTTTTGTTACAAAATTTAAATTTTTCTAAAAGACACGTATTAGAGAGACAATTGATGAATCTAATTTTTTTCAGTAGACCTAAGATGAAATAATGATATACAATTAAAATTTTTACTCAGGATTTTGGGCCACAGTCTTTATTTTACCTCCAAAAATCACTAATTTACAAGTCAATAATTTTGAACAAAATTGGATAAATGAGGCATTTCTTGAGATAATCGAGTCTTAAGAGTGCTATTTTTGGATTTCTCAAGTTAAAATCTATTAGAGTACCAAATTTTAGGAAATTTCCCCAAGCCATTATGAAGATACTATATGTCAAAGTTGCTTTGTAGTCGCTTCAGAAAATCACTAAAATGCTGAGTCAGCATTATTTCAAGTGACAATATCTATGGAACCCATTAGTATTTTTAACTAAAATTTTCGCAGTTATTATTTTTTTGATATGGACTGCAAGTAGTGTAAAAATAAACAAATTCTGAGACGTAAGGGTGTCATGGTCTGGATGATTTCATATATTTTTACCCCTCTATAAGATTAAAATATGAACCTTAAAGAACAAGGCCGCTGCGCAGAGAAAGGAGTTGAGTGTCGTACTACCAGGGGCAAAGTTGGGATCAAACTTGGAACTTTTGGCTTATGAGGCAAGTGCTCTACCACTACACCACTACAGCCTTTGTTCAAAGACTTTCGTTAATCCAGATGTTATAGTAATACTTCAATAGCTATTGATATTATGAATTTCACCTTATATATAATATATCAATGGATCAGTGATCGAATCATATGATTTTTGAATAATTATTGTCGGAGTATCTGAATAACCATAGCTGCTTTTCTTTTTTTCAAGTTTTTAATTGCATTGACGATTTCATATTTTATAATAGGAAGAAATAAGAAATTAATTATTTTAAATCTTATTTTAAGATTACTGAAGTGATTGTTAATAAAGATTATTGAAGTAATTTTTAATATTTATCATATTGCAAAAATTTATGAAAAAACAAAACAATAAATTTAAAGACTGCAAACATAATGATAGTCAAAACTTACACATTTAAATTTATTGTTAGTTTAAATACCAGTTAATTAAAGTATTATAAATAAATAAAAAAGTTATACGATAAAAAAAAAATATGCATAATAATTTTAAAACCAACCAATAAAAAATTATACTAAAGCTATTTGCCATTGTATGAAACATTAAAATCCAATTTTAAAATGTATGAAAAATTAAAATCAAAATCAGTTAGAGGGAAACTTTTAAGAACCATTTATTTAAAAAATTTAATGTTTTAAATTAGAAATTAATTGACAATAAAAATAATGATATAAAGATACAATTTAAAACATGTTATTAAAGTTTGTTTTGTATTTATTTAAAACAACTTAAAGTGGTTTAAATTAATGTTTATGTTTTTAAACTCCTTTGTCTTTAATTTTACATAAATATCTGCATTGGAGCATTCAATTGTCGGTAATATTTGATTTATAAGAAAATATTGAATAAGATTTAATTAAGATATAAAAGTAATTAAGGATTCTTTTATTTAAAATATTCGATCACCGCTGTACTGTTAGGTAAAAATTTAATTAAAACAGAATAATAAACAAGCAAATTTCCTGTTTTTAGTTGACTTGTACAATTTACAGTTTTTAAGTCTTTTGTAAACACTTTTTGGTTATTATCTCTTTATTCTTTTCTATTAATTCTTAACTTAATTAGTGATAGCATACAACCTAGTTGAATAAGCATGAACCTAGAGTGAATTGTTTAAAAGTAGTTCAAAACAATAATTAATAGTAGTAAAAAAAAGAAAAAAAGAATTAAAAGATTTATTCTTAAAAAATTATTTATTGAGATATTACCACAAGCTTTTTTTTTCAACTTTTTTTAACTTGATCTTATTTCTGTTTTTAATATAATACCTAATAAAAGGCTTACAATTCTGCTTAGTTTTTTTCTATAATAATATCTGGCTTTGTTTAACAAAATGAAAAGTGTGTTCACCATAGAATTTTTAAAAAATGATATAACTTATGCACAAGCATAAGGGTTTTCCCTTTTTTTTATTTTGCGATTATAATAAAACTTATATGCTACAATTCAGTTATTGCAGCATTTGATATCTCAGACTTCACTTTTGACCAATTTTCACTTTAATTTAGCATTATTTTTATTTTTATTTGTCAATTTTAACTTTAATTTGGCCAATTGTCATTTTAATTTGGCCAATATTCATTTTAATTTGGCACAAAAATCTACCAAATGAATTTTAGTAACTTTATCAAAGATAAAATGTTAGAACAAAATCTATCATTTTCAAATTTAATGGAATTTACTCGCTTGTCTTTACCCAGCATCTTGAAGAATATGAACATTATGAAAGCTCTCAATCTTCTTTGGAATTTTAAGAGAAAAAGTTTTCAAAAAAGTGCATTTTAAAGTTTTTCATAATGAAATTTTTTTCATAATGAAATTTTTTTCATAATGATATTTTTATTTTACTTTTAATTACTTCTCTAATTGATTTTGATTTGTTTTGTGGGGTGTAAATTTTGTGTGCCAATTTAAAATGAAAATTGCCAAATTAAAATGAAAAAAATGACTAATTAAAGTGAAAAGTGCTAAATTAAAATGAAAAAATGCAAAAATAAAGTGAAAAATGGCCAACTTTAACAAAAGGTGTATTTTAGGAAGAAAAAAAACAGTTTTTTGTTTTCATCAACATTTTTTTAAATATTTTATTACCAAAAATACAATTTTTGGTTTTATTAGATTTTATTAGAGCAACTTTTTACTTTTGGTGAAACTAAAAAAAAACTAGCAGAGTATTTTTAAAACTTTTCCTAGTTTAAATTTTTTTTTTATTAATAATAGCAAGTTAGCAAGTTATCATAAGAATTCTTTTTTTTTTTTTTTTTTTTTTTTTAAAGTTTTTTAATACCTAACATGTTTAAAAAAAAGGAAAAAAAACCTAAATATTAAAATATAACTTAACTTTAACAATATTTAATTTTATTGATGTAAAAGATAAAAGGTTTTATCAGACCAGATTTGTTTTGAATGAAAAAATCAACAAGCTGGAACTTTCTTTTGCAAAAAATAATATGACGTTAAAAATGAAAAATGTTAATATCTCAATAAATAATTTGCTTTGGTAAGTTGTCTCAGCACTTGAGGATCCCTTTAAACTAAAATATTAAACAGACATTTTGAAATTAAAGAATTATTATTCTAAGTTTTACCCTGAAGTTATATCAAGATTCCATATATGTGCTCTATGTTCTGATGAATCATTAAGTGTTTTGTCTATAAATATATCATTTTCTACGACACCTATATCTTCCATACCATTTGATTGGTTTATAGTAGTTGATTTAACCTAAATAAAAACATAGAAGACTATCAGAATAACATTCTAAATAAATTTGTAAATAACATGCATAACTAAATATATTTAGTTATGCATGTTATGCTGTGCTATGTTATTTTTTCATGTTGTCCTATGTTATTGTTAAATGCTGTACTATTTTTTAAAAATATGTATTAATTGTATGTAACAATATCATATCAATATTTTTTAAATACTGGACAGTTAATCTTTTTAAAATTTTTTGTATTGAAATTTACATATTTTTCACCTTATTACTATTAAAAACTTTGTTTCACTTACTGGATTAAGTTTATACCAAAGGTATGCTCTCTCATTCTTCTAATCAATCATTTTATCTTCAAAAACCTTATTTCAAACCACCTCCCAAACTTTATTAAGAAAAAGTAGTATGCACAAAATATATTTGACTTTAATAATGCCATAGTAAAAAATTAATATTTTAATTAATAATAGTAATGAAAAAATAATCCTTTTTTATCCAAATTATTTCCTTGCTATTGTATTGAGCACCAAAAAGAAGTTTGTATTTAAAGGTGAACTTAATAAGTATTAAATTTCAAGCTTTGTATTTTCTCAAATAAGCATTGATTCTACTACAGGCTGTAATATAGTTTGTAGACATTTATTATTTACAGAAAAAGTTATTTCTAAAAACTTCTTAACAACTCAATAAACCTTTTAGAATCATAACATGTAAAAATCAGGATTCGAGTCTAGTACATAAATTGAAAAAATCTGCAAAGGTTATAAAACTTTTATAAGTCACATCAAATTTGCTAAAATGTAACATATATTCACCTTTAATAGATTCTTTGGATGTCAAAGCTAATCTTATACATTGTTGTCAAAGTTATCAGTTGCATCATCTGGGCTTCTCGTCATCAACTATTGAACCATTAATATCTGTTTTAATATCTGCAGGTTTTAGCATGCAAAAGTAGTATCAAAAACCCTAATAATCAATCAGAAATATCAACTTGATGAAGTAATTGCTTCGTATTTTTCTGTGTTTCTCCAGCACAAGTGTTAAGATGAAAAATCATAGTTAGTAATAATGATAATTTAATAAGATCTGTAATATGTTTCAAAATCTCTGAATGTACTTAAAGAAGATAGTGTAAACATGGCCTCCTGAATTAGATATAGCACATGCCACTACCGCAGTGTGTTGTCTACCTGAAAGTTTCTCACCTATTGCTATGAGCTGTTTTCTTTAAAATATTATTAGGTAACTAAACAACACAGGTAAATTGTTTATTTTTTCTTATCTGCAACATATTCAGTCAGAATGATTTGCATCACTGAAGAGATTTACATTACTGATAAAGTTTTAAAATAAAACTCAAAATATTGAAACTCGAAGCAAAAATTACTTCTTGTTATGCTTTTATTAATTGCGTTTGAAAAAAATAACTTTTAAATTTTTTAAAAAAGGTTTTATTAAAGTTATGCCAAACGCTTTTACATATTACTTTTAATGATTGTTTAATAAATCAAAAAAATTTTAAATTATCGAAAGGAAAAAAAAAAAAAATAATATTTTTAAAATGTATAAATTTTTTTTTTTTAAAAGTTGCAAAAAAAAATTTTCATATAATAATAATGTATGTAGTCTTTTTAAAATAAAATTTTTTAATCATTTTATTAGTAAGTCAAGTTAAGAAATCATCAGAAATGAATGATCAAATTAATAAAACTTCCATTTATACCAAAAATTAAATTACAGGAAGTGACATGTGTTAACTACTGCAATTTTTCACACATTTGTGTAATTTGCTGACACTATTGTAAAAAGAATTCTTTAGAAATGATTACTTAAGCTTTTTTAAAAAATAATATATTTTTTTCAAAGGGGAGTTAATGTAACTATTATTTGAGCTCACTCACACTCACTCTCACTCACAGCAACTTGACGGAAATGATGAAAACATATATTCAATAAAATGGTTAAAAAAGAAATTAAAAGATCATTACGATAACCACATATTCTTCGCTGAGGTCAAGCAGATGTGGTTTGTTTTAAAAGTTTGTTTTAAATCCGATATTAAGAAAACTCCTCATAATAAAGATAAATACCCTACTACAGATGATATAATTAATTGCAAAGATGATCCAAAAACATGGGTTCAAAGTAGCTTAATGAGATTTCTTCAATTAATAATTCCATCCAAACTAAAACAAATAAGTTTTTGACAGCCTCAAGAGCTGCCAAATACTTATTTGACAGCTCTTGAAGCTGTCAATCAAGTATTTGAGTTTCAAGACCTAAATCAATAATGTCTCTAATTCTGTTTAAAAATCGGTGTTTAATTCAGCAAATTTTGGCTAGTTGATCATCTTCCAAAATTTTTATTCTCTATCAAACTGGATAAAATCCTTGGCTTCAAACAATCTGTTATTGAGACAAATGACACCATTAATCTACAAGAAAGACTGCCATCTGTTGCTCATTGGGTTCCTGATAATGTAGACCATAATATTGCCACACTTTCTGGAGAAGACACATTTCACGGGATCGGTATCATATCAGTTAGATTGGTATCTGGATGCCAAAAAGTTCTATAAAAAACAACACCCAATTTCTTTATGGATTGTGGTGTTAAATATTACCTTATTTAAAATCTAGTATTGACTTTTAGAATCTAGTATTGACTTTCTTGATCCTTCTGATAAAACATACACTTATTCCACCCTTCATTTTGTTATAGATCAGACTAAAAAAATAAACGTACCTTACATAACTTTTGACCAATCATTATGGATAAAAAAAAAAATTTATGGATAAAAAAAACAGAAAATTTCAATATAGTATATAGATTGGGTGGATTTCATACCACAATGAGTTACATTAGATGCATTGGTAAACTTATAGGAGAATCTGGTTTTGAGGAGTTGATTAATGAGATATATGCAGAAAATAGTATTATACATATAATGTCGAAAAAAGCTATTGCTAGGTCACTTCAAGTGCACATTTTAGCAGAAAGTGCCCTTAAAATTATACTGCTGGATATCCTTGATAATGATAAAGAAATTATTTTTTCCTTGCTTTAACCTATTTTTGAAAAAGTAATGAAAATTACTTTAACTGAAGTTAAATTTGAGAAGTTTGTAGAACCAGAACAATTTATCACCATGTCAAATAGAATTGACAATTTCCAAAAAAAATTGTTAAAAATTGGTTAAGGAGACAAAATCTATTTATATATCAAGACTCAAACTTGCATTCTCTGTCTACAGGTAATGTCTTCATTATTGGAATTTATTATATAAATTGTGAAAAAGTTGAGAAAATAGGCTTGATGGTCCATAACAAGTTAGACAACTTATCACCGAAAATTAAATCAGACGTTGAGACCAAATAAAACCACTGGATGCATTGCATAATGTAATGAAACTAAAGATTTATACATGTTCTATACATGTTAACCCAACCATTCTGTTCACAAGACTTGCTGCATTTGTTCTAAGAGATGACGATGTTGAACGGTATTTTAGTTTTGAGTTGACTACCACACCTCTTTCATTATTAAAAAGGGATTGATGAGGAAACCAAATAATCACTGCAGAAATTATTTTTACTTAAAGAGGTTAAATGCAAAGTAGATAATATAAAAAATAAAATTTGTCGAATTCGAATCAACGGTGGAGCTTTAATACAGCAAGTAAAATTTAAAAAATAAAAAGTAAAAAATGGGTAAAAAGATTAAAATTCAGCAAGATTTGCAAGTTGTACTTAACATACATCAAATGCAATTATGGAGTAGTAAATGTCGTGTTTATTAGATATGAAACTTATTTTACTAAATCAAATGAGCATGCAAGAACTCAAAAAGGAAAAAATTCTAATCTGAATAATGTGCATGACGATAAAACATTGCTGTTTGACCAGGAGTGATTTTTATTGGCCCAACAAAATAAAATAGATTAAAAACTGCTGTTAAACTGCTATTAAAAAACAGTTATTAAACTGCTAGCAAAACATCTTATGGCTGCAGGACTCGAAGTACATATATGTCTCGAAGATGCTGATACAATATTGCTTCAAAAGTTTTGCAATTTCATATTCTTCTAAAATATAAAAAGCGGCCTTTTTATGTCTTAGAAGACATAAAAAGCCCGCTTTTTATGTCTTCTAAGAAAATCTAATAAGCTTTAATAAATATCACAGTTAATGACAAACTCTTGGACAGATAAAGATACAGTTGGTACAGCAGCAATTTCGGCATTTAAAAGTATTTACAAAGGAGCACTAGTTGAAACATTGACAAAATTATAGTTTGTATACTATTTACAATATGTTATAAATTTACAAAATCTACATTATGTAGAATGAAACTATGATATTTATTATTACAAAGATATTCTACTAACATTCTTTTGTATATATTAAAGTAGTATTTAAGGTGGTTATTGTCATCTTAAGGTAATACTAGACTGTTTCTTATAAAATAGCTGTTAACATACTTGAAGATTGATTTGATTAATTTTTTACTCTTAAGTCAACCATATTATTTTAAATAACTTTTATTTTAGATTTTATCTCATATCATGTTTTTGTTATCAAAAGTGCATACTAAATAAATAATAAAAAACATTAAATACTGAAGAATCTTATTACTTACTGTGTTCTTTATGATTTGCTTCATAAACATAATTAATCATATTCTCTAAACAATTTATTTTTAATCCATAGTTTTTATGCGAATACAAATCAGGATTAAATTGTCATTCCAATGATATATGAAAAGTAAATTTTTGAAAACAAAAATTATGATCATAAAAATTATTACCCATTTTTTATAACCCAAAAGAGCCTTTTCCAATGATCCAAATGACGGGTTTATATATATATATATATATATATATATATATATATATATATATATATATATATATATATATATATATATATATATATATATATATATATATATATATATATATATATATACATATATATATATATATATATATATATATATATATATATATATATATATATATATATATATATATATATATATATATATATATGATGTCACCAAAAAAAACCCGTCATTTGGATAATTGGAAAAGGCTCTTTTGGGTCATAAAAAATGGGTAATAATTTTTGAGATCATAATTTTTGTTTTCAAAACTCAAAAAAAAAAAAAAAAATTGTAAAAATGTGTATATTTAATTTACTCAGATAGCCTAAAATATCATAAAAATACTTTTGTTATAATTGTTCTTTAAGAAAATCAAAATAGTATGCATATTGCATAAAGTCCCAGCTTTTAATTGCTAAAACAAAGAAAAATAAAAAATCACGCACAGAGTAATAATATCGTTACATTTTTTTGAGTAATAATATCGTTACACTTTGAAAAATATACAATAATTTTCAAAACGCCATACTCTAGCTAGAAATAATTGATGACTGCTGTTTCTCATCGAAAATATATTAAATATGAGTCGCAGAAGTATAATATTTCACTTAAAATACTCACTAGCAATTCATTTTCATAAAAATAACTACATGAAATTGACAAATTTGCAACATCCGTGCGTGACTTCCATACGGAATCATTCATAAACTGCATTTAAACGATTGCTGTGACTCTATGATTCATAGTGCAATCCTGTAACTTTCTGGAAATCTTTACTAATGTTTAAAATATTATTTTTTTTAAAAAAGTATACCGGTGAAACTTATATTGTCCGAGGAATTAAAGTTTATTTATCTAGTAACTAAAATATAATTTTTTCTGTTCCGTGAGTGATTCCATTTCAAACTTTATTTATTCTTTGTTAACATTACTAATTCTTTGTTTACAAAATATTTATATTGATTAGAACTAAATGAGAGTAAATTGGAGATCGCTAGTTTTATTTTCATGAAAATAAAAGTAAAAACATATACGAGTTACCGTGCGTGATTTTTTGGAAATGCCCTTATATAGAAAAAAGCTTTTTAAAAGTATGTCATGTTGGGTCTCAAAAGAAGCGAAATTATATAAAAAATTTTAAAATAAGAATCATTTTATGAAAAAGTTATTATTTTAGAGTTTTTTTTGCAAAAAAATGACCTATTTTAACCTAAAAATAAAAAAAGTATATTTTTTTGATAATTATTTTTGAAAAACTTTTTTTTATATAATATTAGGGACCTGGTAAGTGTTCAAGGGTCTGATGCTCCCCCTAAATCTGATAAAAATTTGAAAAAATTTAATAAAATTGCTTGTGAGAACCAATAGAAGGTTTTAAGAATATGAACAGATCTTTTTTAGAATATAAGGGGTGGATGTCACACTCTAATACATACATACATACATATATATATATATATATATATATATATATATATATATATATATATATATATATATATATATATATATATATATATATATATATATATATATATATATATATATATATATATATATAAATTCAACATATTAACGTTAAATGTATACAATATGCAAAAAATGTAAAAGGGAAAAAGTTACTGATTTCTATTAGCATTCAGTAACTATTGGATAAAAATTTTAATAAAAATCAATTTTGAATGTATTTGAGTATACTTTGAATATATTTGAAGTAGTACAATTAATAATATAAAATTATTGATAAAGTACTAATTTAAATCATTAACAAAAAGTTAATTTAATGCAATGTTTTTTAACAAAGCTTAAAACCAGGCTGTACAATTAAAAAAATAATAATAAAGAAAAAATTCACTTTAACATTATTTTGCTTTAACCACCTGCTACCATACAATATATACAATGAACATATTTTTTCATTATAAAACAAATTTATGATACATTTTAAGAAATGTATTATTTGTCTTTCTATCTTTCTATTTATAATACATACCTACATACATAGACACATACATACATACATACATACATACATACATACATACATACATACATACATACATACATACATACATACATACATACATACATACATACATACATACATACATACATACATACATACATACATACATACATACATACATACATACATTATAATATTATGATAATATTGTCTATAAATAGTAAAAATAAAAAAATAAAAATTTGTTTTGTAATAAAAATTACATTAAAATTTTATATTATAGTTGTAACAAATTAATATAATGTCCCCAAATTTATTAATAATATGTTATATAAATTATAGATAATATCAATAAGGTCTTTTTAATACTAACATATTCAAAAAAAAAAAAAAAATTGATAGCATTATATTAATTTGTTGCAATCATTAAACTATAACTGTAACAAATAATAATTGTTACAATTACAAAAATGACAAAACAATTTAAACAAATTACGTCCTCATCTTCAAACGTCCATTCATCGTCGTCATCAAAAATTAAAACATCTTCATCAGTCATTTTTTCTTTATGAAAATTAACTTTAAAATTGCTTGATACCATGATAATAGGAAATTAAAATTCTTTTGAACAAAGTTTCAATCCGATCAATAGCAATGTATAATCATGGTATCTTTTGCTTACCCGATAAATTAAATTATGGAAATTAAAAATAGGAGTTTCTCCCACGCGGTTGGCGCATTATTATTTCACGCTTTGCTGTTTTTCATAATTCTGTGAAAAGCTAAAACATATTTACACAAAACTTTTTTAGAGTTTTTAAGGTTCATAAATAAAAAATACTAGAAAGTTTTTCACAAAAATGGAGCCATTCGTTTCTGAAATCCTTCAAAATTGCTTTAGCCAATGAGTCGTGCAACCTAAAAAAGCATTAATTTTACTATTCACTTTGTAATTAATCAGATCACATTAATCACAAGTTTCAGTAAGATCATTAGCTTTGAAAAAATCACAAATCCAATTTTTAGCAATGTGCCATCTGGTGACAATCTAACCCTCTTTAATCGTTGAACCAACTAGATCATCAACAGCGGAACATTTAAAATTTGGCTGTTCCTTCTTCAGATCTCAGTATTGACGGCTACTATCCTTTGATTTGCAAGGACTCCTATAGTCATATAGGAGTCCTTGCAAATCCTTGGCTTGGGCATTTATTTATGCATCAATTCAGAAATTTTTAAAAAAATCAGGTTTGAATTCTCAATGTAAAAAGGTGGTGTCTGATGCTAAGCTCAATTATTCCCAGTTCACTTAATCTCGCATCTTATCTCAGATGTTAGGCTCTCGAGAGCTATTTTGGAAAATACTTCACAGCATTATTACATTATATTTCCCTGTATTTTCAAAAATATTTGAAAGGGTAATTTTTAATAGAATTTATGATTATATGACTTTTACACTTTTATACAAAAATCAATTTGGATTTCAGAGATATTGCTCAACTGAACATGCTATTTTTGACTTTTCCAATAAAATATCCATGTCCTTTGATAAAGGGCAACAAGTACTAGGAGTATTTATCGATCTCTCTAAGGCATTCGATACTGTTGATCACGGAATTTTGCTTTCAAAGCTAAAGCATTACGGCATTAAAGGCCTAACATATAAGTGGGTTAAGAGTTATCTTTTTAATAGAAAACAGTTTGTTGTCCTGGAGGAGTCAGGAGCTCTTGATATTGTTTGCGGAGTCCCACAGGGATTAATTTTAGGGCCTTTATTATTTTTAATATATATCAATGATATGAATAAAGCTTCTCATAAAATATCGTCAATTATGTATGCAGACGATACAAATTTATTCTACAACAGTTCTGATGTAAAAATATTGTTTGAAAAAATGAACACTGAACTAGAAAGCTTTAACCAATGGTTTATAGCTAATAAGTTATCATTAAATTGTGAAAAAACAAGTTATACTCTCTTCCATAAAATAAGACAATCAACTAATCTTCCAATAAAGTTGCCAAAACTGTCAATCAATAAAAATGAAATAAATCGAGTAAATCATTCAAAGTTTTTCGGAGTAATATTTGATAAGAACCTATCATGAAAAAAACATATTAGTCTGATTGAAGCAAAAATATTTTCTGCTATAAGTGTATTATATAAATCTAGGGCCTTTCTTGATTATAAATCACGCAAAATGCTTTACTTCAGTCTTGTTCATTGTCATCTCTCCTATGCTAATATTGTTTGGGCTAACACACACAAAACTAAGTTATTAAGATTACAGAGCCTACAAAACCACGCATATAAAGCAGTTAACTATTTAAAGAGATTAGAAAATCCTTCCCCTGTAATGAAATACATGAATGTTTTAAATATATCAAAACTTAATTCGCTTCAAATATTAATATTTATGTATAAGTATAAGAATAACTTGCTGCCAAAAGTGTTTTTTGATATTTTTAAATCAGCATTTTCACAAAAATACAATCTTCGGTCAAATAACAACCATAACTATCAATTGAGCATAGTAAAATCGCAAGTGTTGAAATTCTCAATTATTAGCGAAGGCCCGTCATTATGGAATCAATTAAAAAATAGCAATATAAAAAAATTAAAAAGCACTTTCTCTTTTAAACGACAAATGAAACTGCATCTCCTTAATTTCTGACATATTTGTAAGTATGTTTGTATATGTGTGTGTTTTTATGGGGATATGTTTATATGAGTATATATGTATATATGAGTTTTTTTTAACTCTTCACGTAGTATTTAGCAGATAAAATATTTGTTGTGAATTTTCTGAAGCCATGTGGGCTTTAAATGATATTGTAAAGGGGCTCTATGAAAAAATTGTGGTGACACCAGTCATTCTTATCTTCTTTTAGCCCCTGTCTGTTTTATATATATTCTTTGTGTAATGTAAAAGTTTCATTGTAATTATATTATTTTATTTTTATATAAACAGCGAAGTGTATTAAAAAAAGGTAAATCTAATATTTCATCTCTAATTCATGGGTCTGATTTTATTACTTTTCTCAAAGATAATACGCAGCTCCTATCTAGAATTGCATTTACTTATCGTCAGTATGATAAAGATAGGCTAGAGTGTGTCCAACAAAGAGCTTCTAGAATTAAAATTTTGAAAAGATACAATTATGAAGAGAGGTTAAAAAAGTTGCATTTACTATTGTTGGAGAACAGAAGAAGAAGGGGTGATTTGATACAAATGTTAATTTATTTGAAACGGTAAGGCAGAACTATTTACAAAGAACTTTTTTTCTAAATTAAAATAATTTTTCTAAATTAAAATAATTTATAGCATGTGGTCCAGACATCATTCCTGTCATAGTCTTACAAAAGTGTTCTTCAAAACTCTCTTTAACCCAGTGGGCACCGGACCAAAAAAAGATGTCTTTTGAACATTCAAAAGAAGTTCAAAACGTTCAAAAGACGTTCAAATGACATTCAAAACGTGTATAAGACGTTTAAAAGACGTCTTTTTTATGTCCGTGCCCACTGGGAATTCTCTTTAAAATATTTATTAAGTGCTTGACTTAATTTTGTTTTCCTGTGAGTTGGAAAAAGGCATCTGTGATTCCAATTTTAAAACTCTAGAGACCATTCTCAGAATGGTCTCTAGAGTTTTAAAATTGGAATCACAGAAGAAGTTATCGTCCAATAAGTTTTTTTTCTATTAGTCAAATAACTTTCTGTCTGACCGTCAATATAGTTTTCTATCTTCTCGTTCTACAGTCGACTTGCTAGTTGCTGTGACTTAAAGAGCCTATCATGCATTAGATAGAGGTTGCGTTGCAAAAGCTATTGCTTTTAAGATATCTAAATTTTTTGATAATGTGTGGCATAAAGGTCTTGTCAAACAAAGTTTAATCAATTTTGCATAAACTATCGAACACCGTATTTATGGAACAAAATTGTTGTTCCAAATTTTGATTTGTCAATTTCGTTTTCCGTTTTTAAAACTAAACTTAAAAAACTATACTCTTTCTACTGGCAATATATATATAAATATTTTTGAAATGTAAAATTTTTTTTTCACTCTTGATAATTTGTAAAATTATTTTCAGTTTTTATATCTTCTACATTGTTAATAGTTATTAGATCAATTGTATTTTTATTTTATTATATATACACGAATGATATATTTTATATGGTTCTGGCGACAAGATCATTTGGATCTTCTTTCAGATACCAAGTTTATATATTGTTATATTGTTATATTACGATTAATAACTGTAAACTAAAAAAAAAAATTAAAAAAATAAAAAAGGTCTCCTCCATAAGCATGCTTCATATGGTGTATTTGCAAATATTTATGAGAATAACAATTTTTTTTTTAACTACTCTTTTAAAGTTAACCTTAATGGTCAACAATCTTCCTCATATCCAGTAACCTCTGTATTGTTTCTAATCTTCCTGACAATTTAAAGTGGCTCTATTTGCTGACGACTCAGTTTTATATACCTGTCTCTGAAAAAAATTATTTTCTGTTGTGTTCTTTATTTTAAATATATAATTACCAACTCTTATTTTATTTGTTTTAAAATTTATTATAATAACATATATATATTACACAGGACCGGTGCAAGGGCCATGCGAGTTATGCGGTCGCATAGGGCGCCGGCTTGGCCGGGGTGCCGCGCTAACGTAACCAACGTTTTTTTTTATTATTATTTTATTTTTAAATCATTAAAATTTAAAACTTCAAATTTTCAAAAAAAAACTTATAAATATTTTTATTTTATTTATTTATATTTTTTAGCGTCCATAATGTGTATATGTACTGAGTTGTTTACATGTTAGGGGCGCCAAACTTTCTCAGCACTTCAATGAAAAAATAATTAGATCGAGGGTATTATTTATTTAGTTTGAAATAATAAGTTTGTGAGCCAAAGTTTTAATTTAAACTATTGATTTTGTATGTATTTCCTTCTGCACTTCAATTAAAAAAATTTACAGTTAAAAATAATTACAGTAGTTAGTTAATTATTTGAAAGAATAAGTTTTGAGTCATCATGACGATAAAAAATGTTTGTTTTTTTAATTTTATATAGAAAACGCAAATCAGAAATGGAGAGAAAAAAGAACAAACATTGATTAAATTATTCTATAGACTGAAAAAACAAGATCCAAACGATAATCAGCAGCAATTGCAGATAAGATACAATATAAGAGTGAACTTATTACAATTAACTTTGTTAATAAATACAAAATAATAATAAGTTGAAAAGATAATAGGTTACCGTTTGTTTAAGCCTACCTAGGTTATCGTATGTTCAAGTCTTAATAACTATTGTTTTCTATTATTTTAATATTCGTTTCTTGATGTTTGGTGTTGGGTGTACTTTTAAGCATAATTAAAATCATAACAAAAAAAAATAAAACATCTTGTACCTTAAGTGCAAAAGATGTCAGGAGAAAATTCACAGTCCTAAGATTTAAAAGACATTCCTGATGAAGCAGTTGAAGCTATATCTTTTTTTGTACAAGAGCACTTTAATTTACAACCAAGTACCAGTAAAAGTACATCAATTTCATTTTTATTTAAGGTTTAGGCTTTTCTCAAAAAAACTGTTTAAATCACAGTACAAAGTCTTTTTTTAAAACAAAAACTTTAGTTTTAACTCCTCTCTTTGTATTGTGCAATTCCTTAGTACTCAAGAAT